CGCCAGTCACGGTGTTTGTCGCCCCCAGGGAGAAGGCGCTGACCCTCACGGGAAACCAGGGCATCGAGGCTGCCATGGACTGGTGAGTACTCGGACCGCGGGGCCGGCGGGGGGGCACCTGAGGGTGAGGTGGGGGGCCTTGGAACACAGCGTGATCATCCTTGACTTTTCCTGCCAGGCTGATGGAGCACGAGGAGGACCCCGATGTGGACGAGCCTCTAGTGCCTCCCCTGGGACACGTCCTGGGCGCGGAACCCAGCTCTTCGGAGCCCAGTGGCCCTGAAGGTCCAGACTCGAGGGCGTGTGGCCATTGAGCCCTCGGGAGGGCCCCGGGAGAATCCGCAGGGGTCATGATACCCAGGTGCCTTCTTTGTAGGACCGGGGTCCACTGCGGAAGAGAAGCCGGGCCTGAGTGAAGAGGAGAGGCAGGAGCAGACCAAGAGGTACAGTCGGGACCGGGCCTGCACTCCTGGGGGCGGGCAGGGCCCACCGCGCCTCTGAGCACGCCCCTGGAGCACGCCCCTTGGCCTCGTCTCACCGCCCTCTTCCTTTCTCCGCTCCCCTGCCTTGGGGCCGTTCCCAGCCTGCGTTCTCCCAAGGCCCTTGTTAGAAAGTCCACCTGCCCGCCCGCCGTCTCCGCGCCCTGAACGCGCCCCTTGCTGTCCACCCAGGATGCTGGAGCTGATGGCCCAGAAGCAGCGGGAGCGTGGAGAGAGGGAGGAGCGCGAGGCGTTGGAACGGGAACGGCAGCGCCGGAGGCAGGGCCAGGAGTTGTCGGCCGCCCGGCAGCGGCTGCAGGAAGACGAGATGCGCCGGGCCGCGGAGGAGCGGAGGCGGGAGAAGGCCGAAGAGCTGGCGGCCAGGTCGGCCAGGTCACGGGGATGACGAGCGGGCTGGCCAGCTGCGAGGACTCCAGATCCGCCTTGCCAACGGCTGACCTTTCTTCCCTTTCCGCCATGCAGGCAAAGGGTTCGCGAAAAGATTGAGCGGGATAAAGCCGAGCGCGCCCAGAAGGTGAGGGAGGATTGCCTTCTCTGCGCCGCCGGCTTTCAAAGGCCCGCAGGGTGGGCTTGTGCGGGATGCGCTTCTTGGAGCGTGAGTGAGTGCCTGATGAAGTGTTTGGCTTTGTCCTCTAGTATGGCGGTGCGGTGGCCTCTCAGCCTGCCACAGAGCCGGGGCCTGTTCCCTCTTCCCCCAGCCAGGAGCCTCCCGCCAAGCGGGAGTATGACCAGTGTCGCATCCAGGTACTGAGCCCGCTTCCCTGCTGATCCCTGGGACTCCTTCCCTGGTCTGTCAGGTGCCTTTTCCCAGTGAGGGCCTCTTCGCCAGACCTCTCTCTTCTTTGTAAATGACTTTTGAAATCCTACCTCTTCCACTCGAGGCCCGAGATCGGATTTCACTTCCTCCAGTCTTGCTGAAATCCATCCCTCTTACTCAGCAGTTCCCCTCGGACTTGTTCATAATGTGTTTTGTTTTGTGTTTTCATTTGGAGCACACGGTTATGCTGGGCTAATGCCTCTGTCCCGAGACTTTTCGGTGATCTTGCCATCTTTCTCTGGGAACGTGGAGTCTTACTTTCTTCAACTTGTAGCAAGGCAGAACATGCGTGGGTGTCCCTTCGGTGCTATAAATTAGAACAACACTGGGTCCACGCTCTCCAGGAAGGAGGGGGCTGCTTTCGCTCCGTTCCCCCATCCTTGGGGCCCCTCACTCAGTTTGGACCGCTACAGTACTGCACTGCTTCTGGATTCTCTAGGTCAGACTGCCCGACGGGACCTCGCTGACCCAGACGTTTCGTGCCAGGGAACAGCTGGCTGCGGTGAGGCTGTACGTGGAGCTCCATCGGGGGGAGGAGCCTGGAGGGGACCAGGACCCTGTGCAGTTGCTCAGCGGCTTCCCCCGGAGGGCCTTCTCCGAAGCCGACATGGAGCGCCCTCTCCAGGACCTGGGTAGGGCACGTGGGGTCCGCAGAGCACCGCAGGCTTGGGGCGGACTGGGGCGGCCAGGGCAAGTCAGGGACTTCAGGTAAAGGAACTTTGGAGATGGTGTTTGGCCAGGAAGTGTAGGGACAAAGAGCAAATATGCTTGTGACTCAAGCCTGTTTCTTTCCATCTTTTAGGACTTGTGCCTTCTGCCGTCCTCATTGTGGCCAAAAAATGTCCCAGTTGAGGAGACTTTGTCCCACCACCCACCCCTCTGACCTCTTCATGTTTGATAAAGCACTGACACCCTCTTCCTAATAAACAGACGCTCTGATTGCTGCATATGCTTCCCTCTGTCCTGAGTGGCGGGGAGGAAGAGGCAAACCGTGAAGGCGGAGGCCAAGGAGCCAGTCAAAGGGATGGCCTTGGGAAGGATCCTTCAGTGCATCTGGGCTTTATCCTTGGGGAGGTGGAGGTGCTGGAGGGTGGGGGAGCACACTGGCTGGTACCCTTTGCTGCTATGAGTAGGAGGCAGTGCATAACTTGAAAATTCTGGTTCAATCACTTAACTAGCTATGCACCTGGACTGCTTTCAATCTAGTCTTTTGGTTCCTTAGCATTGTTCGAGGGTTAACTAATGCTGGTAAAAGGTGCCTTCGCACAGTGCCAAGCACCCAATAGGTACTCGCTAGTAAAAGGGGATTTAAAAAACATTTTTTTGTTGTGATTAGACTGAAAGTGAACTGGGTTTCCAGTCAATTCACACACTTTTTGGTTTGTGACATGAATTGCAGTTCCTCCAGTGAAATAGCCCCTTTCCTACTTATTTCCTGAGTACCATTTCTACTCCTTCCCCAGCACTTCCCACCTGCCTGCTGAGGTTTATCCCGGACACATAGCACCCTCTGACCCCATGTGGTTGGTAGATGCAGGGAGTGTGTCCCTCGGTCACTTTACAGCCTGGAGTGGGTCTGAGGTGGCAGCTTAGAGGGTTAAAGGGTGACTAGAGACCATCACCCCGAGCTTTCACCAGTCTCTGTTCAGACCAGGACACCTCATCTTTGACTTTGGTTTCCTTCCACTCTCAGCACTGGTAGCCCAGCCCCATCTCACTCTGGTCTCAAGGCAGTGAGACGGGCACGGTGCATTAGGTCTTTGGACTAATCCCCCTGTGTCTGATTTTCTACATGCTGATGTTTCAGGTGGGGAGAGATCAAGTGTTGTACCTCAGATGGGATTTTCTTTTCATTGTGGCCGTCCCCACAGATGGCGATGGCGAGGGGGGACATCAGGGTGATTTTTGCCAGTGTGCCTCTTCTGCTGCGAGATGACCGTTAAACACATCACAACCACACTGTCCTTTCCTGTTACCAACGGCAGCACAGTACCCTGTGCTTTATCCAAGGGGACTTTTAAGAAATCCATGGGAAAATGAAATGAAAATAATGGATGTTTCTGACTTTTCCTCCTTAAGCCTCCATGCATGTCTTCACAAAGACAGAAAGGCACGCATGTAAGTGTAGGCACAGGTCTCCCATTTTAGGTCAGGACACCTGCCCAGAGCGATGATAACAGGTGGAGCCCACACACCTGGGAAGCCTCTGACTTTCAGGTCCAGTGCCTGGTCACCACATTCCTCGGGGGTAGCCTCTCCTTGTTGCCTATCACTTGGTCCTCAGACTCCCTGTGTCTGACTCCTAGCTCAAGAAAAGACCACACACAGTGTATGTGGCTTCCGCTCCTCCATCCAGCCCTCACTCACTCAGCCCTCAGGAGCTGACCTCTCCTCTGGGATTCCTTGCCTGGCCCCAGGCACCCTCTCCCAAAGACCACCCACAAGTTAGATGGCTTCTAGCTCCATCCAGTGACTGGGAACAGCACCAGGGCTCAAAGGTGGATTTAAATCTCAGGGCTGTCCAGCGTGGTTTAGCATTTTCACTCGAAGTCTTGGTTTAATAAAAACAGCCCGTTCCCCACTGAAAGCTTGCTTAGAATCACAAGTTATAAGATAACCACAAGAGTGTTGTGGGTTGGTTGGCTTGGGCGTGGTGCTGTGGATGTCACTGCTTCATCTAGTCACTCAGTGTCGGCTGTAACAGGCCCTAAGGAGTCACAGACTGGAAACTTTAACATGACAACTAAGAAAACCAAAAGAAACAAACCCCCCCCACCCTACCTATAATGGCTTTGTGCCAAACACGAGATTTATTTTTTACTACTTTTATTTTCAAGTTAACTTTTACAATAATAAACCCCCAACTTAGTTTTATAGCTTGCAGGGGGTAAAAAATAACAAAAAACATCCTCACTACTGCCTGGCTAAGTCAACTTAGTTTAACCAGAGGTCAAATGCCAGAGGGCATCGTGGTACAAGAGCTCGATGCCCCTTTGGAAACCTCTTCTAGGGCTGGAGGAACCCAGAGGTCTCCCCGATACAACCGTTTTCCAGATCCTCGGTTTTCAAGAAGGCCCCTGGGTAACTTGCCTTGCAGACGGAGGCAGCTGGACTACCTGGCGGCTTGAAAAGCAGGTCCACGCCCATTGGGCTTCAGCCGCACCCAGAGACCGTAATGCCACTTTCCCAAAAAGCACCGACCCCCATGCTACCTAGGCATTTCGAGACCAAGCCGCATTCTGTCGATGAGTGAAGGTGATTTACTGGTTTGGGTTTCGTCGCCTCCGAACCCGGCTTCCATCCCGTCCTGGCGACGGAAATGGACGTGCAGGCAGTGCAGGGCCGAGGGCAAGCTCGCTGGATGGCAGTTCCCGGGGCCCCGGAGCGGCCCGGGCGCAGCACCCCGGGTCCGCACTCCCTGCCGGGCCCCCGAATGCGAATGTAGTGACTTCGGGGGGGCTCAGGCCCTGGCCACCACACCCCTCCACGGTGGCCCAAAGCGCAGGCACCAGCGTCCCCGGGGCCAGGCCGGGCTCAGGCCGACCTCCTGCTGCCGCCGCCGTCTTCCATCCAGTTCTTCCTCCAGGCCACGTTCTCCTGGGTGGCCGCTGCCTGCTGCAGCGTGGCCAGCAGCAGCTCCTTGGTCCTGGCGGCCTCGGCCCTGCGCCGCGGGTCCTGCTCCGGGAGCTCCTATGGACACAGCGGCGAGGTGTGCAGTCCCGATGCCCGCACCCGGCGCTCTCCGCCCGCCTGCCCCACTTCCGGACTCCCACTTGCTCTCACCTTGAGTATCGCTTGTGTCTTCTGCTCGCCCGGGGCCACGAGGGCAAAGAGCGCGGCGCCCACCCCAGCCCCCACGCCCAGGAGAGCGCCCACGGCCAGCCCTTTGCGCAGGACCTCCATAGTGGCCTGCGGGATCAGCGAGGCGTGCTCCCGCTCCTCCCGCAGCCTAGAAGGGTAGTCATCGTCTCGCTGCCGTGCAGGCTAGAGCGGCCCGTAGGGGGCACCATAGAGAAGGGGCGCAGGCTAGAGCGGCCTATAGGGGACACCATAGAGAAGGGGCGCAAGCTAGAGCGGCCCGTACGGGGCACCATAGAGAAGGGGAGCAGGCTAGAGCGGCCCGTATGGGGCACCATAGAGAAGGGGCGGGCCAGAGAGGGCCTGACTCGCCAAACGTTTGGAACCTAGAGCGCCTAGCCGAACAATCTGAAGCTTTGTCTTCAGAGAGAAAGTGTTTGGCTCTCCCATCGAAATGTCCGCAGCAGACTGTGCTCTGTCGCTTCCCGCCGTAAGCTGGGCGTTTTCTGGACAGAACTATCATCGGATATTTGCACACGTCAGTCCACTGACAAGCCTCAACGTCTCCACTCCCTGTCCGGGTTTTCCTCAATCGCTTCAACTCTTGGATGGAAGCAGAGAAAACCCCACACCCTCCAGTCGATTCCAACTTTTAAAAAAAATCATTTTATTGGGGGCTCATACAATTCTTATCACAATCCATTTATCCATTGTGTCAAGCACATTTGTACATTTGTTGCCATCATCGTTCTCAAAACATTTGCTTTCTAGCCCCCTCCCTCATGAACCCTTCATAATTCATAAATTATTATGATGTCATCGATTCCAACTCTTAACGACCCCAAAGGGTAGAGTATGTCTTATTGGGTGTCAAAGGCTGCAAATATTTACTGAAACAATACTGCCACATCTTTTTTCCTGGGAGCGCCTGGCAGGTTACAGCTTTCTGTTAGCAGCTGAGCCGCTTTAACCACCGTGCCACCAAAGCCTACAGAGGGGAAAACTCACCTCTCTACTTTTTTTTTTTCCGTTTCAAATACGTTATGTTTCCCCCCATGGTGTCTTGTTGTAGTTTTTAATGTTGAAAGCATGAAAGCTTCATTTCTTTTGATTTTTAAATGGATGACATGCCATCTATCAAATTTTGTTTGGAAAAAAACCAGAAATTTTGTTTGGAGAAGATAACGCCTTATGACTCTGGGCAAGTCCCCTCTCTAAGCTTCGGTTTCTGCGTCCAAAAATGGGTCAAAGTAAATATGTCTCATCGTTTTAAGATAACTACCTTTATAAAGCTTTTAAACCAAATAGAAACAGCTTGTTATTTCTCCTTAAAGCACAATCAAAGCAAACATGCCAACTTGGGAGACCCAAGAAGCTAAGGAGTCAGGATATTCTAATTTCACGATCAAAACTTTTCACTCACGAGAATTCTTATGTGTCCTTTTTGGTCTAGGAAATGAGTGTAAAAATAAATCTCCTGTCCCACCTCCTGGGTATTGTCCCTCCACGAGCACAGGTGTAATCTCCTAGCACGTCTTCACCCTATCCTCAGACGTGATTAAGGGGCCAGGCTCCAAAGAAGATTAAAGGAGCCTGTAGGGTACATGGGGCAGGGGTACGCTACTCAGAGCTGACCTCCCCTGCATCGGTAAGAGTCACTTCACTACCATGGCCCTAGTGCCAGGTTGCTGTGAGCAAGATGGGCCTTGGCCCAGCGATAACTCAGGACCTCCCAGGAATCTAGAGGATCCCAGGCTGACTAACCACCCCAGGAAGGACAGTGAAGAGGAGATGACAGAGGTTGAAGGTCACCAAGACGTTCAGGTTAGTATTTCATCACCCTCCACCCACTTTGCCCAAGCTCCTGCTGTGCCTGTTCAGGTTGAGTCTCAAAAGCCCCACCTGCCCTCCATTGCGGTCGAAGCCTCCGAGGTGAGCGAAGAGAGTGGGGAGCTCCACTGGTCCCAGGAGCTACTGCTACTAGATGATGGTGAAGAAGACGCTGAAGCCTTCTTCCAGGACCAAAACGAAGAGCCAGGTGAGGGAGGCGGCTGCTTTAGTGGGGCTATTATGACCTGGGTGTTTTGGGCAGAGCAATTCTGGGCAGACCAAGCAGGAAAAGTTACTGTCCCTGCATTTAGCAGTGTTAGACACACCAGTGGAGCTCTGGTAGCATAGTGGGTTATGCATAGACCTGCTAACCGCAAGGCCAGTGGTTCAAGCCCACCAGCTGCTCCACAAGAGAGAGATGAGGCTGTCTACTCCTATCAAGACTTCGTTTCAGAAACTCAAGGGGATAGCTCTACCCTGTCCGCTAGTCATCTATGAGACAGACCAACTGGATGGCAGTGAGGCACGCAGCAGGGGCTCAGTAAACATACTGGAGATTAGACCTAAACACTGGAAAGAAAAAGTCAAGGTAGTGGGCAAAATTAGAGGGCATGTTGGCACCAGGACGGAGGCCATTCATGGTTTTTAATTCTTTTAAAAATATCGTGTCGTTAGCTGGTGGGGCGGGGGATTACACCCAATGTCACTACTTCCCAGACTTCCCCCTGTTGCACTTGCCTAGTTCTCTGAACAACCCGGTAAGGGGAATCTCTGAGAAAACCCAAGGCTTGTTATCATCCCTGTATCACTCTTAAAAAACAAACACAATCACTTTATAACCTCTTTAAAACCTCAGGAGCATTTTTCATTTACTGAACTCTTTAACACCCCTCCCTCCCAGGGTGGGCTTGGAACCCACTGGAGCCCAGGTCGCCCCTAAAAACGCTTAACCCAGGATTCGGCTGGGGGCAGGAGCAGGAAGGTCATCAGGAAGGCTCTGGTGTCTGCAGAAGTTTGGGGGACTTTTCTTATCCCTTGCCTCCCAGTGGCTTTGATGGTAAGTGCTGTCTTCTCTCAAAAGCACTTCATTGGAATCTTTGAACACCCCTACCCATCACCTCACAATGTTCCCTTTTGACAGATGAGGGTCTCTGGTGGTGGTGGGAGGGGTGACGTTTAGAGGTTGGGCCATACAAGTGGATGAGCACAGGGATTTGGATGGAGTCCTTATGGTGGCACATTGGGCCCCTAACCTCAAGGTTGGGAGTTTGAAACCACCAAGCCCAAGCTTTCTGCTCCCCTAGAGTTGTCTTGGATACCCGCAGGGGCAGTTCCACCCTGCAGGACAAGGGGTCCTTATGGCTGTACATGCTAGTTATCCCCTCTCCTTTTAGAAGCTTCAGTTGGTCAAGAGCCAAGAATAATCCAGTTGCCTATTTTTCATTCACCTTGTGCCTGGTACATAGCATTGTAATCCCCCCAACATCACTCTGTAGAAGAGTAAATGAAACAGGAAGTTAGGAACACCTGCATCCAGGGAGTCAATATGGAAGTGTTCTATCGCTCGTGGGAGAAATACCTCCGTCCTTGGCTTCGCAAGAGAAAGAATTCACTGAAGCCTGGTTTGTGATCCAAGTCCAGAGATCACCGCATTGTCTGCCAGGAAGCAGCTCTAGAGACGAAAATGAGAAACGCGGTGGGCTCCAGATCCTGCCCTTTCAGGGCCTCCGCTGGGAGGCGTGGTTGAAGACACTGGTTGGCCCCATTGGCTGAAATTCACCTGGCCTAGATGGGCCAATCCAGGTGTAGGCACACCTAGGTGTACCACCCCTTCCTGGCTTGAATGTTAGCATGCCCTCCCGCCCCTATGGCTTGCTGGGTTCACCTGATTCTCGGCAGCAACCTCCTGTAGGGGCGTCTTGGCATAGAGAGGGGCAACTCCCTTTCCGGCTCTGTAACAGAAGCCAGGAATCAGTCACTCGCCAGCCATGTCACAAAAACAAAGCTCAGTGTAACCCTCAGCAGAAGACTAATCATAGCGCTTTAATGAGAGCTTTGAACCAAGTATGCAAAGTAAGTGAGGCCCCTGAGAGGGCCTAGCTCCTGTACAGTCACGGCACAGCTTGGGGACCCTTGTTCCAAACAGGGTAGGCGCACGTCAGGATCCTCATCAGAGAACTGAATGAGGGTCCCCCGAGGGCTCAGGACCCTCAGGCACTCAGACAACAGCCGATTGGCTCCAGGGAGTCCACCCCGGGCAACGGCATCCCAGGTGCCCTTGTCCAGCACCAGTTGGAAGGAGCCTGAGGGAGCCGCTGGTCCCAGGTTCTGGGCGTCTGCCTGCCTGAAGCGGAGGCTGGACGCCGGATGTGCCGGGCACAGCGGGGGTTGACCTTGACAATTTTCTAGGAGACCGTTCATGTGGGCCACAGCCACCGGAGAGAAGTCCACTCCGAGGACATCCACGGGGTGTGGGCACTTAGTGTAGAGACCCGTACACAGGCTGGAAGTCCCGCAGCCCACGTCCAGTACCCGTGGCGGCGGCTGGCCAGCCCGTCCCTGCTGCAGCAGAGGCAGGAGCAGGCCCTGCGCTTCTTCGTATCCGAAGAACCAGTCGAAGGTGGCGGCACTGCCCGGACGCACCTGGGCGTGGAGCCGATCCCAGAGGCGGCGGTCAGCCAGACAGCTTCCAGCCAAGGAGCCTGTGGACACGGGTGGGGGTGACCCGTCACCCAAATGCTCCTAGCTACGCAAACGGTGCATATTCCGCCCGAGGGCCTTAAGAGACTAGACTCCGGGGTCACGAGCAGCCCACACCTTGCCCTCCCCACTGGGTGCCCTCCCTACCCGAGGCGCGGCGCCGCCCAGCCGCCAAGGTCACCGGGTGGAGCAGGCGGCCGAGCGCCATTCCCAGTTCCCAGCGCCCTTCGGAGACACAAAGGGGGTGCGGCCTGCAAATCCCCGGACCCCCAAGAACGCGGACTGCGGCCTCGGAAAAAAGGAACGCCGACACCGATCGAGTACGGCTCGAAGTCTTTATTGATAGCAACGGCGAGACATGGGGGGGCCGAGCAGCTCCCGCTCGAGGCGGCGTTCAGAACCCTGAAACCAAAGAAGACGCAGTGAGCAGCCCGGAGAGGAGCCTCGTTCCCGGCCTGCCCGCCCGGGGCCTTGTCCCGGCGTCTGAGGATAG